AAATAACAATTGTAAACCGCTTTGTGACTCTGGTCTGTGAAAGGCGGTATATAAATAAAGCTTACTTACTTACTACTTACTTACTTGAGGTAGAATATGTGAAAATCAACCCTGTGAAGTAAGGCCAACACCGGGGTGATGTGGTCTGTCCCTGAGTGCAGAAGCACAGGGGTGATGTGTTCTCACCGGCTGAAGGCTTTAATAACCTGATCTACCTTTTAAAGAAAGGTCTGGTTAAATATAGGTCAATAATTAGTTATTTTAACTACACCATCTCTCTGGTCTCTCTCTGATCTCTTTCTTTCTGGTCTCTCTCTGGTCAGAGTGAGTTGGAGCAAAACTGCCCTACTGGGCTTTATTAAGCTAGCGGTTTAGCCTGTGTGTGTGTAAGTGGTCAGCCTGGTGTCTTTACTCTCATCTCTGTGTTTCTCTGCTGTGAACAGCAACTGATCCTGGATCTGTGTGGACACAACACAATCAACAGTAAATGCCCCATGCAGCCTCTCTTTCAGACACTGGGTCACTAGGTCAAATCATTGACTGTATACTGAAGAACAATGCTAACCCGCTAGCTCTTTGAAGCCCAGTGGGGAAGTGCTCATGGTGAGGGTTTGCTCTGCTTCTATTGACTTCCATAAAAGTAATTTCTCTGAAACGCTCTTTCTGATCCTGGTCTTGTTTCCGAGTGAGGGACTGAGGGAGCGTGAGGGGGACAGACGTATCGGTGCAGCATGTGCAGTGATGCGGTTACACACAAAACTGTGTTGGACTGTTGTGGTGAATAGGGAACAGCGTCTGCAGTCAGAGCTCTATGTTCTCTCCCTCACCTCTGGATGGATAATATTACATTGCATAATGTTCTCCTGAAATGGTTTGTAATTCTCAAGAAATATGAAATAGTATCTATTTTTATATACATTTTTGATACTTTTGACCCTAACTGTCATTAATCGTGCAGCTTAATAGTGGAGTATATGAGGCTTGAATTTAGGGCTGTAGTAAACCATTATTTTTTGTAATCGATTAGTTGGAATAGTAATCTTTTGATTAATCGATAGCACTCACTAAAATTGTGGTATTTTGTCCCTGAGCTTAAGTAAATATTCACATTTTAGAGTCAAAACCAGGGCTAGCCCCATTTGATCACATAATCACATGTGATCAGGTTAAAGGATAGCTTTAAGCAAGAACAGTCCCTCACAGCAGCACTCACTCGACCGAGGTTCACCTTTCGCAGCAGTTTCACTTTTGTGTGTAATGTTTATGTGATCAGTTCTGACTGTCCTGCCCCTCAGTGTCCTCTGCAGCTGTATTTAACAGTGTATGCAGCTGTATTTAACAGTGTGCAGCTGTATTTAACAGTGTATGCAGCTGTATTTAACAGTGTGCAGCTGTATTTAACAGTGTGCAGCTGTATTTAACAGTGTGCAGCTGTATTTAACAGTGTATGCAGCTGTATTTAACAGTGTATGCAGCTGTATTTAACAGTGTATGCACAGCTTTTACAGCCTTAAATCATACAGCTGCTACTGAGAGGATTTTACTTATTGTGGGTTATTTTTAGAACACATCACCCCTGTATGTGAGAGTGTCATGGAGGGTCTTGTGGCCATACCTGCATGTGAAAGCCAGATCCAGTCAGACCTCTGAAGCTAGGCAGAGCAGGGCCTGGTTAGTACTATGATGGTAGACCTCTGGGATCACCAGGTGCCACAGTATGCGGCTGTAAAGTGCCAAACTGTCGTTGTGTCCTTAGGCAAGACACCTCACCCACATTGCCTAGAATGAGTTTGGTGTGTGAGTGAATGGTTGGTGGTGGTCGAAGGGGCCGATGGCACAGACTGGTTGCTTCGCTTCTGTCAGTGTGCCCAAGGGCAGCTGTGGCTACAGTAGTAGTTTATCACTGTGTATGAGTGAATGAACAACGACATGTAAAACGTCTTTGAGTGTCCAGTGTTATATAAAACCAATGCATTATTATTATCCATCCATCCAGCCATTTTCTTCCGCTTCATCCGTTGCCTATCCACACACACTTCCTCCAGCTCGTCCGGGGGGACACCAAGGCGTTCCCAGGCCAGCTGAGAGACATAGTCCCTCCAGCGTGTCCTGGGTCTTCCCCGGGGCCTCCTCCCAGTGGGACGTGCCCGGAACAGGCGTCCAGGAGGCATCCGGAACAGATGCCCGAGCCACCTCAACTGGTTCCTCTCGACGTGGAGTAGCAGCGGCTCTACTCCGAGCTCCTCCCATGTGACTGATCTCCTCACCCTATCTCTAAGGGAGCGCCCAGCCACTCTGCGGAGGAAGCTCATTTCGACCGCTTGTATCCGCGATCTTGTTCTTTCGGTCATTACCCAAAGCTCATGACCATAGGTGAGGGAGGGAACAAATCGAGAGCTTTGCCTTTCGGCTCAGCTCCCTCTTTACCACGACGGTCCGATACAGCGACCGCATCACTGCACACGCTGCACCGAACCGCCTGTCAATCTCACGCTCCATCCTTCCCTCACTCGTGAACAAGACCCTGAGATACTTGAACTCCTCCACTTGAGGAAGGACCTCTCCACCCACCTGAAGAGGGCAAGGCACCTTTTTCCGGTCGAGCACCATGGCCTCGGATTTGGAGGTGCTGACTCTCATCCCAGGACCCAGCCGCTTCACACTCGGCAGCATTATTATTATTATGTTGGCGTATACATGCTGTAAAAAACTGCATTATAGTGAGTAAACACTACACTAAAGATTTCTGCAAATAGAATTGGGAAAATGTAGGAACAATTTTATTTAAAGGAATTAAATTGTTGAATTAAATTAAATTGATTGCAATGGGGAGGGGCCGCAGCTGGTAAGAGTACTGTTAGAGGTGATGCCTGTTTCAGGGGCAGGAACTGCTTTAAATAGATATTTAATAAGAAAATATAAATATATAATTTCAAGGAAAAATACAATTTTAAAACGCTGCAGGGAGATGTGGTAAAAATTATGTGTTTAATCAGTTACATCCTTCTTGTAGATGGAACATTCTTTTGGTCACTCACTAAGATCTTTCATTCTTGTGTGGGTGTGCGTCTGAGGTCTTTGTCTGAGGTCTGTGCTGGCTTTGAGTCTTTGGTGTGGTCTCTGATGGTCCTGACTCTCTGGTCTCTGATGGTCCTGACTCTCTGGTCTGTGAACATTCTCAGGGGAGGGCCCTGGGGCCGAGCTCTGTTCAAACCTGCAGGAGGTACGTTCCTTTGCACTGCTCCATTAGCCGCTGTTCAGAGACCAGAGATAGAGAGATCAGGGAGAGAGAGAGAGAGACCAGAGCGAGAGAGACAAAGGAGAGATAGACCAGAGAGAGAAACCAGAGTTAGAGAGACCAGAGAGAGAGAGAGAGAGACCAGAGAGAGAAACCAGATAGAGGGACCAGAGAGAGAGAGAGAGACCAAACAGTGACCAGGGAGCAAGATAAACCAGAGAGAGAGACCAGAGAAACACAAGAGACCAAATAAAGACACCAGAAAGAGAGACCAGAGAGAAACACGAGAGAGAAACCAGAGATAGAGAGACCAGACAGACAAGAAAGACACAAGAGAGAGAGACCAGGGAGAGAAATCAGAAACCCAGAGACCAGACAGACCAGAGAGAGAGAGAGCAAGAGACCAGAAAGTGACCACAGAGAGAGAAACCAGAGAGAGACACCAGAAAGAGACCAGATAGAGACACCCGAGTGAGAGAAACACCACAGAGAGATTTATAAATATAGATTACTTCCACTTATACATTTGCAGCATAATTTCAGGCAAATAATCCTGTCTGGATTTGAACGTTGAGCGAGGACATACAACTCATATGAAACTCCTAATTTAGTCTTTTTTGCCAAAGCCCAGACAGGTTCATGAAAGGTGATCGAGATGAGCGTTGGTGTGGACCATGTGTGGACCATGTGTGGACCTGTGGCCTCAGCATCACTTTCCCTCCCTTTACGGAGCTTGTTTGCACAGAAGTGGTCTTCCTGTTTTGGCTGCGGGCGAGCGTTAGTGACTTCTGGTATTTACAACTGTTGACAGGACCACCGCTCCCGGAAGAGTGAGGGTCTGCAGTCTGCACCGCTCTGGACGAAGGCTCGAAACCCACGTTGTAGCGGCTGCGCTGTGCGATGGTTGTTGCGGTCTTTTCAGTTCCTTTCTCCATTTAAAACATGTGATCATAGGAGGCCACTTCAAGGACCTGTCCTAAAAGTGATAAAGGTACGATTATGAGACCTGGACAGACTGAGGGCGCTTCAAATAGTGGACAACATCTTCTTTTTAACTAAGTTTCAACACGGTTCTATCATCAAAAACAGATCTAGAGTTGTTTTTAGCTCCACCCTCAATCATATCAGGAACAACATACACAAACACACCCTCTCCCTTCTGTCTAAATGCTCGGTTTTCAAACACTCACTGTGACAAATACTATGACATCATAGATAGATCTGTAGTATTCAATCCAAATTAGTTATGGTCAAATTACATTCTGTCTCTCTCTGATCCCGTACTCCCTCTGGTCTCTCTCTGTTCTCTCCCCCTGGTCTCTGTTATCTCCCTCTGGTCTCCGTCTCTGGTCTTAAAAACAGTTGATGTGTCAAATGCATGGTGCTCTTCCCAGTGACCCGGACTCTATCCTTGCAGCAGCAGAAACAGGACTAATGACTCCTTCTAATCATCATCAGAACACTTAAGGGACTCAGTGTTCGCTTCGCCACACAGCGCGAGATCATGCCGCGGCTGTGAGGGAGGGGGGCAGTCCTTATCCATTGTTCCTCCCGTGCGTGCGTCGTCATCGCGTGCCCCGCCCCCCCCAGGCCCGTGCGCGCGCGCCCACCTCCTGCAGGTCACGCCCCCCTCGTCTATATAAAGCACCGGTTGCGCTGCGAGCCGCCACTGGCACAGCCTTCTTCCCCCCTCCTCCGACACGAGCCGCGTTAGGACTTTATCACATCTCACCCTCATCTTCCCCCGTTCTTTATTTGAACAATGTCAGACACGAAGGTGGACTCCGGCGCCGACATCACCGCCAAGGTAAGTGCCCTCAAAACCCATCTGCTCTTCATCTGCTGAAGTGGCTGCTTTTGGTGACGCGCGTCAAAAGCAAAGAAAAAACACCAAAACAAACAAAAAGTCTCTTCGCACTGAGCCTGTTTTAAACGATGCGTGAGATCTGCGTCGTGTTGTGGCTGTCCGCGCGTGTCATGGCCACGGCTGCCGCGGCTCGGACCGTGATCAACGCGCGGAAAAACGGGAGCAAACCCCGCGTGCCCCCGCCGCTCTATCTTTCTCTCTCTCTCTCTCCGCGCACGCACCGTATTCACCTGCGTCTCACCGACTCGCCGTGGCTGTAGTGCGGAGCTGAACGGTGAAGTTTCCAGCACCCCCCCACGCACTTGGCATCGCGGAAACGACACGGGCTCATTGTCCGGACCTGGGTTCTTTGTTTGCCCGCCTTACCATATGTGAGGGTTATAGGAGAAAAGCCCTGTGTACGCTCGACCCCCGGTATCACGCGCGTAACGGGGCCGCAGCTTAGTACACAGTAATTCGAAGCTAAATCCCGTTGCGCTTTTTTGTGTGGGTTTTCATGGAGCCGCCAGTCTCCGCTCACGGACGCGGACAGAGAGACGCGCTGCGACTGTCTTTACGCAAAGACCGCGCGTCAAAGGGAACCTCTCCAAAAGATTTATATCACTTTTCTTTGACTCAGCGGTGAACATTATCACAATACCGGGATGGTGGAGAGGCAGAGGCAGGCTCCGCACGGTCCCACCCCCCGTTCTTATCCTCCACCTCAAGGGGGGATTCAGACGCGGATAAGGACAAGCCTGGGTCGCGGAGATCGCTCCGGTAACGGGAAAGTTTTCTAACCGCTTCTCAGTCTGCCGCGCGCGCCCTCACGAGCCACAACAAGAGCCTTTTAAACCTTCCATTATTTACCCCCTCTGTATGTGTATGTGTGTGTACGCGCCTGTATATCTCTGTGTGTGTGTGTGTGGGCACGCGCCTGTATGTGCGTGTGGCTGCTTGCTTGCATTCTTCCCAGTTCCGCGCGCGAATGGCTGTTGCAAAAAAAAAAAAAACGACTTTGCTTTTTGCTTACATTTTAGATATTGCGCGTGCGTGTGACCCGGCCTCTCGGTTTTGTGCGTGTGTGTGCGCGCGTGGAGGTGCGATGCTTTGCCTGTCTCTCTGCTGCCGTGCCTTTGTGCTGGGCTACATCCTCTTTCCACTTGTGCCTGGACTTTGACGCCGGTGTAAAACTTTAATCCGAGCGGTGCGGGCAGCCTCGCGACCTAAATTTCACCGGGAGAATGAGAGCAAGGGCCTCCCGTTAATCCCGGTCGCTCTATTTTTAGATTTTGATGCGCGCGAATCTTACAGCTCTGTGCGGAAATGCGCGTGTGCGTCCCCCGCGCAGTCTACACGGGTAACATACACTTGAGCGGACGCCTTCACGATGCTTCACTGTGCTATTATTACACGTTATTCGGTGTATGCCCGTGCGCACCAGCCATGTGTCGTCTTCTATTGTCCTCACAACAAGCGGCTGTACGTTTGCGCGCTCCTCCCCCCTCCTCGTCTCTCTCCCCTCTCGCTCTCTCCGGCTGTATTTCAAACGTCGCAGTGCATTGTGGGACTTGCAGTGCGTTCGTCCGGGCGTGTCTTGTGACATATGGCGGCAGCGCGGAGACTACAATGCCCACAGTGCCCCCGAGGCCACATCAAAGTATCAGATTACAGCGCGTTGTATTCGGGGTGGAAAAGAGGAGGGAGGGAGTGAGGGAGCGAGGGAGGGGGGAGTAGGTATAGCGGCAGCAGGAGGAGGAGATCTGCAGAGCTGTCCCACAATGCAACGCACAGCCTAAACTGGGCCATTAGAGCAGGTATACATGCCCTCCTCACTTTTCTGTTTTTCTTCTTTTTGCAGGAGCTGAAGGAGAAGAAGCTGGTGGAGGATAAGGAAAACGGCAAAGATGCAGCCACCAATGGAAAGGTAAGGGCCCTCCTCCCCCGTCACCATGGCAACAGCATCCATGCAAAAGTCGCACGGTTCCAATGACATGGATCTTCGATTAACCACAATGGATTCTTATGAGGCGGGTTTATACAGCTGATAACATCCTGTTTATGTCTGTGATTTGGGTCACTGGGCATGTGAAGGAAATGAAGGTGGAACATTGCCCCCTGCTGGACGTATGAGTCACAGAGCAGCTTTGGAGGGCTTCAGCAATGGATTACTGCAGTGATAATCTAATTTAAAGGGGTTGACTGGATGAAAAGACCAATTGTTTGGGTCAATGCTTCTGCCTGCACAATGACAGAAACGATACAGATATATGCTGTATAATATAATAATAGAAATATTCACTGTGTATTTTATTGATCTCACTATGGAGAATACTACTGTTCTGTAACCTGCGGTGCAACACTGACATTTCCCCACTGTGGGATGAGTAGAGGAGCTCTTCTTCTTAATGTTTTGAATCTGGTACTGCAATGTGTCCAATACTTAATATTTTAAAGCTTAAGTTGAAAACCCTTTTAAAGCTGTTTGTCTTGTTTTGGAGGCTCTTTATGTGCACTGCAACACCGACATTTCCCCAAAAACAACATTGAGTGAAAGCAACAGATGACCAGGTTCCTGAAGCTGCTTTCTAAACGTCCTCAATGTTTGCAGGAGAACGAGGAGAACGGAGAACCCGACGTAGACGACGAGGAAGAGGATGAGGTGGACGAGGAAGATGAAGAGGATGACGGAGAAGGTAACGCTCTAGAAAAGTCACGAGCAAAACCATGACGACAGTGGGGCTAAACCACCACGACTGAGGGGCGAAACCACCACGGCTAAGGGGCAAAACCACGAGGAGTTCTGATGAAGTATGTTCTGTGTTTCCTAGGTGACGAAGAGGACGAGGAGGATGATGACGATGACATCGAGGGCGGAACAAAACGGGCGGCTGACGATGACGACGATGACGACGAGGTGAGGAAGGACAGCAGAGAGAGAGAGATCAGAACAACCCCGAGAGTCCAGAGAGCGATCAGAACAACCCAGAGAGTCCAAAACAAAGATTGGAACATCACCAAAAGTCTGAAGCCAAGTTTGGAGCATTGTCAGAAGTCCAGACCGCAAAGGTCTAAAACAAAGATTAGGACGTCCCCAAAATTCAGGATCCAAAAAGCATTCATTTAAACGATTCTGAAAGTCCAAAGAAAAAACGGTTGAACCAAATTTACGACTTTGAAAAGCTGTAAATGTAACTCGGGCATGAGATTCGGTCCCTTCAAAACCCATTGAAAGTTTAGTTTTCTATTCAACAATTATTACTGTGAAATCGTGAAATTCCCTATTTTAAGTTAATGGTGTGAGGCATGGCTAGCATGAGGTTTCAGCAGTCCATCCATCCATTTTCTACCCTTTAATCCATTTCTGGGTCAGGGGGGTGACAGTCAGAGATGCCACCCAAGTCTCATAGCACCAGCCCCTCACTGACCCTCTGCAGGTGGTGAGTCCACAGGAGGACGGCTGCTCTCTGAGTGTGAGCATAGCCTTGATCTTTCAGTTGGGGCTTTTGGGCAAAGTGGGGTTAAGTGTCTTGCCCAAGGACACAACGACAGCAGTCATCAGTGGGAGTCGGTGGAGAAGGTGCAGAGGTGGGAATTGAACCCACGACCTTCTGGGCTTAAGGCCAATGCTCTACCAACTGAGCTACTGTCGCCCAGCAGTAGGTCACAATGACAAAAGTGTATTTTCTTTTCTTTCTAGGATGACGTTGAAACCAAGAAGCAGAAAACAGACGACGACGATTGATGCGCCTCGCCACTGCCCATTTCCTGCTGAACCACTTCCTGAATCTTCCACCTCTGACCATTTTACCCACGACGCCACAGGTGGAAGGCGCCGGAGGACTCCATAAATACAGATCTTAAAAAAATAAAAAAGTGGAACAAAAAAATCTCCAAAAAATACACAAAAACAAAAAACAACATGGTCATTAGCGAGTAGAGTTCCGATTTTTTTCCGCAAACAATTTTACCGCGACGGCCACAGATTTTCTATAGAGGAGCCCCATCGGCACAGAATCCCGGCTTTCAACGACTTTATCAACGGAGAATTTGTTTGTATTTTTATTTACATTTTATATTTTTGTACATATTGTTTGGAGGAGGGTGGAGCCATGCATTTCTGTCTCTTCTTGCGGTAGACGTCCACAATAGGCAGCGGTCTCTCAGCTAAACAGTCGGTGCTTGTTGACCATGTTACAATGTTTTTGACAATGACTTGTCAAAACGATAATAATATTCACAGAAAAAAACCTCTTAAAGCCGTTGAACTCAGAGCATTCCAGTGAATTTAATGTATGTACTTTAGCTGTACCATAACTAGTTTGTTTGTATGGGAGGGCAAGGCCAAAGAAAGAGCCTGATTTTACTTTTCCTGTTAATTTTTTTTTGTTTGGTTTTCGTTTTTGTCAGCGACTTTACGTTTTGACGGCCTGTTTTGGTGTATGTGCGAAGTTTGTTGTTTGACAATAAACCGGACTTTTATTTTGTGAGTTGTACTTCTTTGTACCTGGTTTTATTCCAGCGGGAGCCAGCAGGGGGCGACAGACAGTCACTCCGGGCAAAAAAGGCTTTATGTTATGGAGACAAACGAGGCCCTTGAATGTAGAGATCACATCACATCTGAAGACTGTTTTCTCTTCATTTTTCAATAATACAGACTATGCTACCGTTTTAAAGCTGGGATATCTAACGGTCTAACCACAAATTGTAATAAAATATGTGAGACGTATTCCACTTTAGGTGTTATTAATAGGTCAAATTATGTTACCCAGCTTTAAATATTCTGCAGTACTTAAAGTTGGGATACTTGACTTACACCACAACAATATGACTAATAAACCCATGTCTCTAGTTCTGGCTCTAAAACAGTTACTTCTATCACCAGTTTTTACATATTTTTGGCCTCTGTCACATAGTGAGTCAAATAGTGACTCACAGGGCTCTCTCACACAAAAGATAGACCGATGAAGACAGCATATAGTCGTCTCAGTTTCTTAAAGAGGTGTGATTTTACTGCATTTACATGTGGCCTCAGATAACAGGTCACATATTATTTTTCATTATTTAAACAACACAATAGTGAGCTTCTATTGCTCATAGGGTCATCTTCTAGAATACAACTTTTTACAAGTTCTGAGGGGTGGTCCATAAGGTTATTTAGATTATTTTCACACATACCATTTTCAGTGACCCTTGAGCATATAAATCAGTGAATCATCACTGTCCATATACCCCCGAGTGAGAAACGTTGGGGAGGCCCATGTTGAGAGAGGGATCGGCTCCCACAGACAGACCGAATGTAGATTCAGGACTGAGGCTATAGATCCAGGACCCAGGCTGTAGATCCAGGACGAGGATATACATGAGTCTCTCATTTGGGTTGCCATGCTTACGCTCGCACCAGCAGCCAATCATAATTCAGAATCATGAGTATCCTCCTGCAGGGCAGTAGTTTAGTTGAGTACTTTATCTACAATATACTGTACTATTGAAGATCGACAAATCGTAGGATGATGTGGTAGAGAGAAAACAAATAGATTTTTACTTGCATGTTTAAATACCTCCATAAATGAATAGATCCTGAGTGGGTGGAGTTTGTACTCGAGTTGGTGCTGAATTTCTGCAGTAAAATCTGCAGCTCGACCTCAGTAAAGAGCAAAGGGCCGCTGCACACAAGGGCCCCTCACAGGAGCACAGAATCACCAGGAGAAACCAGGAGCACTCAGAGAACCAGACTCAGAGAGAGACCAGGACCAACCAGAGGACCAGAGAAACACTGTATAACAGTTGGCTTCTGTCACTAGTTTTCACTTGTCATGGTTTTGGTCAAGGTCAGGTCTGGGTCTTGGTATGATCTCAGTCCGGCACAGCAGCAAGGATCTTAACAGGCGCACATTTAAAATCATTTCTATGAGGTTGAGATCTGGAGACTGGCTAGGCCACTCCAGGACCTTGAAATGCTTCTTACGGAGCCACTCCTTCGTTGCTCTGGCGGTTGTTTGGGATCATTGTCATGCTGAAAGACCCATCCACGTTTAATCTTCAATGCCCTTGCTGATGGAAGGAGGTTTTCATTCACAATCTCACAATACATGGCCCCATTCATTTTTTCCTTCTCACGAATCAGTCGCCTGGTCCCTTTGCAAAAAAACAGCCCCAAAGCATGATGTTTCCACCCCCATGCTTCACAGTAGGTATGGTGTTCTTGGGATGCAACTTGGCATTCTTTCTCCTCCAAACACAAAGAGTTGATTTTTTACCAAAAGGTTCATCAGAATTCTCTCTAGTAAACTTCAGACGGACCTGGACATGTACCGGCTTCAGCAGGGGGACCCGTCTGGCACTGCAGGATTTGAGTCCATGGCAGCGTAGTGTGTTACTGATGGAAGCCTTTGTTACTTTGGTCCCAGCTCTCTGCAGGTCATTCACCAGGCCCCCCTTTGTGGTTCTGGGATTTTTGCTCACTGTTCTTGACCATTTTGACCCCACGGAGTGAGATGTTGCGTGGAGCCCCAGATTGAGGGAGATTTTCAGTGGTCTTGTATGTGTTCCATTTTCTGATTGTTGCTTCCACAGTTGATTTCTTCACACAGAGCTGCTTACCTATTGCAGATTGAGTCTTCCCAGCCTGGTGCAGGTCTATCATTTTGTTTCTGGTGTCCTTTGACAGCTCTTTGGTCTTGGCCATAGTGTAGTTTGGAGTGTGACTATTTGAGCTGTGGACAGGTGTCTTTTATACTTATAATAAGTTCAAGCAGGTGCCATTAATACAGGTCTGTGAGAGCCAGAAATCCTGCCTGCTTGTAGGCGACCAAATACTTATTTTCCACCATATTTTGCGAATAAAAATCACATAGTCTGATAGAAATCAGACTATGTGATTATCTGTTTTTTTCCCTTATTCTGTCTCTCATTGGTGAAGTTTACCTAAAATGAAAATTATAGGCCTCCCTCATCTTTTTAAGTGGGAGAACCTGCCCTCCTACCTCCAAGACACGCTAGTATCAACCAAATCATATCAACCAAACTCTCAACCAGACTTCTACTGGTTCCTAAAGAGTCACAAAGTGTGACAGTCAGAGGCAGAAAATTTAACTCCAAGCTGCTTTACACCCTGGATTACAGTTCCCCATCCACAGTAAGGAAGCAGACAGTCTCTACATTAAAGGCCAGGCTTGAATGTACAGTCCTCTTTAAATTAGCATATGGGTAAGAAGACACAGGGAAGACTTTTATTTCTAAAAACACAGATTTGACGCTGCATATGAAGCCCCCTGCTGGAGAAGTAGGGAAACAGCACTATCCTCTTCTACTTTATCTGTCATCATTTTGTCTGTTTCATGGCGAGATATTATATGGGTCTCTCTGTGGTGGTGCCTCTCTTTCCACTCGGTTTTTGAGATGTCGCCTGTCGATGCAGAAAGGAGTAAAGACAGTGATGATGGACTGTGGTCTTCCCACTTCCCATGAACCAACGACTCCTATGTGTTTGTTATTATTGCATTTGATCTGATCTATGTTGGTGAATCCACAACTTTGTAAAGTTCACTAAGATGATTTAGGGCTATACAAGAATACATTGTATTGAACTAACAATATACCTTAACAATAGTTCCTAACAGACTAATTATGGGTGATTGTTTTTATTGTTTTTAATGTATTGATTTATTTCAGGCAATGGCACAGATAAGGACAAGGTAGACCAACACTGTCAGAATCAGAATCAGAATCATTTTTATTGCCACATAAGTAATAGGAGGTCACAGACTTGGAAATTGCTTTGGCTTGGTGCAACATTCAGAGAGAGAGAATAAAAATAAAATAAAAAGAATAAAAAACACTTCTAAGGAATACATTTTAAATTAAAATTAAAATAGAGTTACAATAACTATATATAATATACAGTGCACATGGTGCACACAATATAAGGTGAGGCCAGTCAAGTCATATAGTGCAAAAAGATAGGGACAAAAAGTGAATGTACAGTATATCTATCTATCTATCTATTTAGATAGATAGATAGATAGAGCTATATATATATATATCTATATATATCTTTTCTGCCTGAAAGGGAGTGCGATGAAGTTACAAATCAGACAAAACACAACGTCTTCCCCTGAATAAAAAACATATTATCTTTTTTGTAAGAATTACCCCAGGGAGGAGGCCTGAAGTACTTGATGTGAAAACTAGCCATTGGATAGAAACTTTTCCAGAGGCCAGAACTAGAGACATGGAATTCATTTAGTAATGTTTTTGTGGTCTGAAAGTTACATACCCCAGCTTTAAATTTACATGTTCCAGCTTTAAAGTTACATGCCCCAGCTTTACAGTTAAATGTAGGTAGAACCACGTGCTGACTCCAAATAGGACTGGAGCTACAGTGTATCCATGGCTGGTCAAACATGTCCATATCTGGGCTGTAAGTGCCTCCTGTGTCCACTGGGGGGCGCGGAAATATCACTGTATGTGAATGCACCTGCAACAGGCCTGAGTAAATTAAAAGTAAGTAAGTAAGTAAGTAAGTTTTTATTTATATACCGCCTTTTCACTGCAGATCTGAGTCTCAAAGCGGTTTACAATTGTTAATTTTGGGCATTTGTCTCTCACTCCACACAGAGATGGGAGCGGGGCCAGTACAGGAGGCACATGCCAGAACTATTGGGCATATTTTTAGTGGTAGGGGAAACCGGAGTACCCGGAGGAAACCTACGCAGACACGGGGAGAACATGCAAACTCCACTCAGAAAGGCCCTGGTCCGACCGGGATTCGAACCCAGGACCTTCTTGCTGAGAGGCGAGAGTGCTATTCACTCAGCCACCGTGCCGCCCTGAGGTATTTACCTTTTTAAACATGAATAATACAGTTTGTCAACAGAAAGAGTCCTGGAAAAGTTGTCTTCATCTGAGCAGAAAACATGTTATTTTTAGTGTACGAAAAAGCCCCGTCACCATTTGACTCTTGGGGCTGAGAGTTGATTGGATGTGACAAAGGCTAGAAATACATGATGTGAAAAATAGAGATGGAAGAAACTGTTTTGGATCCAGAACTAAATTTACCATTTACTTACCTGGTAGAATGTCGACATCCTGGCCATTTTTCAGGGTTTTCCCTCCACTTGGGAGCTCATATCTTTGTCAGCACATATCAACTATGGTTGATGCGTGTGTCTCTCCGGTCACTCTCTCTGGTCTCTCTCTGGATTCTGGCATCTCTCTGGTCTCTCTTCCTGATCTATCTGGTGTCTCTCTGATCTCTTTCTGCCCTCTCCCGCCGAGTTGTATTGACTCCTGCTGAAATACTATTCTACAACACAAACGTTTTACTCAAGTCAGAATGTTTTTGTTTCATTTAATTCAATTCAATGTATTCTTGTATAGCTCTAACAGTAGTCACCTGTAGAACCTTACGCAACTGTTAAATTTACCAACACAGATCAGAGAATAAAACAGTTCAAACACAAGAAATAAAACAGAAAACACATTGGTATTGGTCCATAAGGGCCAGATGACCAATGTCCAAAAATGTTGATAAATGTCCCTAAATGTTGTTGAATGACCCCTCACAAGGGTCTAACAGACCCTTCTGGACAGGCAAGAAAAGAACTCTGCATCCAGAAGGAAAAGTGAGAAACCTCGGGGATGCCAACATTGAGAGAGGCATCAGCTCCCACAGACGGACGGGCTGCAGATCTAGGACTTAGGCTGCAGAACGAGGACAGTTTCATGTGGACTTTTGACACTTACCATAGTTACTGTAGTTACCACAGTTACCAGGAGAGATGTTTCAGCTGCCATTCATGTGCTGATCTCCAAGATATGGGCTGGAATTCTTTCCCATTCCTCCTGAAAGCACAGGTGTGACTGAGAACTGCCTATGCCTGTATAGGCTGATCCCATTGAACAGACTCCCACCAACACACAGGGAATGATATCTTCTTGCCCAAAACTCAATAAAATAATGTGAAACTGTTTGGCTGGATGAGGATGTGGAGCAGAGGTGACAGACTGGTCTGACCATTTATTTATCTGTGTTTGAGTCCAGGGTTCAGCTCAGGTCTCGACCTGGTCTGGACCTGAATTGTCTACTCACCCCATGTAACAGACACTCCCATCACTATGCTGCCAGACAAAATACGTAAACAATTAAAAGAAAAAATCGGATTAAACAATACCACTGTAATACTTCTGGCCCAAACCATCACGTGATCATAATGAGGGGGCGTGGCCTATACGCTGAAAATACACACATTTCTAATACAACATGACTTTTCCCTGTGCTCTTAGATGCATCTGGTGGCCTTGTCTCAGAAGGATCCACTTTCCATGGTTACATGCAGAGTAAATGCAGTAGAAATGATTTGAGTCAGTTTTGCAGTCTTATTATTCTCGATCACAGCACGGGTTTAACATGAGTGTTTTTATAAAAGCATTACATCGGACCAAAGAGATTTTTTTTTTCACATACTTCATGAATATGACTAAATACATCGATATATTTCTGAGTCTCACTGCAGTTCACCAACAAGCCAGCAGATAGCAGCAATGTCATGGGGATAATGTAGTCAGAACCATGCATGGATCTATAACCATGACTGAACCAGGTCTGAATCAGGTCTGAACCAGGTCCGAACCAGGTCCGAACCAGGTTTGTATCTGGCCTAAGCCAGGTCTATATCAGGTCTATTCCAGGACTGAACTCGGGCCGACAGACATAGTTCCTGAATCTAAAACAGTTGCTTCTCTCATTAGTTTTCACATCATGTATTTAGTCCTCGGTCACATCTTCAGAAGGAGAGGACCACCCTCACTCAGCCCAAAGAGTCACACAGTGACCCACAGGGCTTCTTTCACAATGTATCAGAGTCGAGTGGTCTGATTTGAAAGTTTGACCTTTACAAGACCATTGGACCACTTTAATCTCAGACTGAAATGTTTTTTTGTAGTTTAAAAATGAGGTGCCTCAGCTTTAAGAAGTTAGAGCTTTGAAACTCCACTGATCCACATATTTCTATGTCAGCATAAATCAATGATTATTCAGAGCCGGTTTTGTTCCTGAAGTGGATCTCAGTGTTCACTCTACAACAGTATTTGTACTTAAATAATCTTTGTTGTATTACTGCTTTACTTACTTACACTTTTTACTTTACTTTCACTTTTAGACCCAAACATCTGTGCGTTCTCCCTGCTCTTTCAATAACTAGTGACTTTGCAGATGACTGGAGGGGTGCGGTGGCTGAGTGGTTAGCACTTTGCTTGTGGGAACAGTGTCTTTACATGTTCTATACGAGAAACTCGGCAGCTCTCGTCCTGATGAGCATCCACTCCTGAAGATGGCCCCTGTTACTACGGCGACCACTGCTCCTGACAGAGGCCCTGGTGCAGGACGAATCAAATGCAGAAGACAAATTTACCTACTGGACAAATGAAGTATAACTTCTTCTGTATCTAGATGTACCCTACATTACTCTCCCCTGAGTGTTTTCCCTGGTCCTGTTTAACTAGTACAAGGTACTTCTTTAGTCCCTCTTATTTTATTTTATTATTTTATTTGACAGGGACATTGTGCATTAATAAATATTTCTTTAAATACACCAGAATCAGCCAAGTAGCCTTTGGTCCTGGTTCTATCCAGGCCGAGCGGGTACTAAAGTGCACAAGTTTGTTCTGGGTAGGTTGCTAGGATAGTACGCTGCCAAATACGTAATGGAACGTAATGGAAATACTACCAGGTAGAGTAGAGTTGAGCGGGGTCGAGTGGGGTTGGTGAAAACAGCTTTTCTTACCTTAAGACAAAAAAAAAAGACCCTTCAGCTTCAGCTCTAAACATTTATTACTACTCTGTTCTGAATAAATACATGTTCTGGATGTGTGTTTGTGTTGATTATAAAAGGGAAACACGCACAAGCACAAAGCAAAGAGAGAGTTTTAAAATATTGTCTCTTCCCGTTTGTGGCTGAGGTACGTAATGTGGAGTCTGACCTGCATATTTTGTAACAATAAAAATAATGCATTGGTTTTATACAGCGCTTGTTTGGACCCTCAAACACGCTTCCCATGTCATTATTCTTTCATTCCATACACGGTGGTGATAAACTACTATTGTAGCCACAGCTGCCCTGGGGCACACTGACAGAAGCGAGGCAACCAGTTTGTGCCATCGGCCCCTCCGACCACCACCAACCATTCACACACACTATGCTCATCCTAGTGAAGTGTCTTGCCTAAGGACACAACAACAGCACTTTACAGCCGCAGCCGCCCCACTGTGGTCTCCTGTTACAGCTGTATTACTGCTAAATAATATTATCTGAAGAACTGAAGGTATTTGTTCTGACCCACGTTGTTACTACAGTATCTATATCTTAAGCATGCGTCATTAATATCTATATTTTAATATTAATATCTCAAGTGATGACATCTCCGTTCTCTTACACATTGCTACAAATTATATAGAATAAGATAAGATAAACTATATTTATCTCACATGGATAAATGTACATGTCACATTTGGCATAGATCATAAATCACTCAGAGTGTGCAAAAGACAGGAAGTGTCCCTTTAACACGTTAAAGGATTAAAAATACAATCTCTTTTGTGCAGAACATATTATAAAACAATGAAGTGGCTAAAGCGGTGCGAGTTTTTCAGTCCTAGTGTAGGTCATTAGTGACTTTCAGTGACTTATTGTACAGTCTGACAGCAGTGGGGATGCCTTGAATCCTCTTTAAAAAAAAAGTGTTACTGATGCGATCGCGGCTTGTCTTAATTTCTCGACAGTCACTTTAGTCTCATAAATGTTGGTAAAGTAAAATGTTGTGAACAAGTCTGACCACGACAAGCTTCATCTTAAAATAAGTTACACAAGAGCCCAGAACTTGAAGATGTGACAATAAATACATGATGTGAAAACTAGTGATGGAAACTGTTTTAGGACCAGGAACTACAGACATGGGTGTATTACAGTTGTGGTTTGAAAGTGAGGTTTACAGAAGCAAAGTTTTATTTGTTTCACTTCTCTTTCAGCAGAAGATGCTTCCAGTACTTTTACCAGAGGTGCTTTTGGACGGATCTTTTGCCACCTCTACATTTCCTGCTTCCATTGTCCTCGCAGCCCCGTTCCACGTGCGCGCCATATCTGAGCCGTGTTCCTCTTCAGTCTCCTTACAACAGGCCGCGACGTGCGTAACATGGAGGCGCCAGCTCTCCATTACGCACGGCTTCCATTCAAAGCTCGCTATTTGGACACGTCTGGACCATAGTGTAGATATGAGGTCTGGGCGATTGTAAAACACATGCACACACAGGTCTGAACCAGATCTAAACCAGGACTGAGCCAGATCTGAACCAGGACTGGATCAGGTCTAAACCTAAACCAAAATTGAACCAGGTCTGAACCAGGACTGGATCAGGTCTAAACCTAAACCAAAATTGAACCAGGTCTGAACCAGGACTGGACCAGTTCTAAATCAGAATGGAACCAGGTCGACTGAACTAGCTCCGGTTGGCAGTATAGCTCCGGATTCTAAAACAGTATATAGAATACACGCACGCACGCGCGCACGTACACACACTTGCACGCACGTTCACAAATACACACACACATTTATTATTGTCGTTGTGAAATTGCAGGCACACAATACACACAAAACGCGCGTGCACACACACATAGAAGCGCGCGTGCACACAAACGCGCACATTATTGTTGTCGTGAGATCGTGATTATGACCTTACGTAACGCCAGTTTGCCCTCTGCGCACCAGCCTCCGCAGTGCACCGCGCGCTCATCAGCCGCGCGCAAACCCTGTGCGCGTCGTGCGTATAAACGGCGCAGGTTGTGTTTTTCACGCGCGGTCTGTGGCGCTGCGGCTGCGGGTGGATCAGCGCTAATGACGCAGACAGCGCTGGTTCTGTGCTCAGGAGTGTGAAATGGCGGACGATGCTGCGTTTAAGTGATCAAGGAAACTCGGAAATATCTGTCTTCTGCACACTGCCCAAAATGGCTCTGCGGTCATGAGGCACAGTGGGGGAGATCATGTATTAGACACGCTCAAATATGTTTAGTTAAAAATACTGTATTTGTGTATCGTCCTATATCACAACAGCAGTCATCTCTGAGGACTTTACAAAGTTGTGGATTCACCAACAATAGATCAGAGAATCAAACAGTTCAAACACAGGAAATTCAGTAATAACAAACACATAGGAGCCATTGGTCCTTGGAGAGAGGGACGACCACTGTCCAGAAATGTTCATAAATGTCCCGGATCATCACTGTCCTTAGACCCTCCATGCTCAAAACCCACTGGAAAAACGGAGAAACCTTGTATAGATCTTTTATGACACTTTTGTTAAAACTGAGTTGATCATTACAACAGTCTGCAGTCAGTGATTTTCCACTGGATGTTTTGGTCTGAAGGTCGAAGCTGCCGTATCTGTTGGTGCCGTGGCAGATGCTGAGAGGAGGACCTTGATTTGTTTGGTTTACAATCACATGCTGCAAACTCTGGTTGTGTCTTTTACCAACAATAAAACGTCTTTTGCTGAGGCATAAGCCCACATAGTTTGTCATTTTCTTCTCTCAGGGAGGCCCATCTGGGGATGGCCTTTGATGTTTTTGCAGTTTTTGTGCTGATAAATGTATAGATTAAAATTTCAAGGAGATATTTGTCTGAAATATGTTAATTTATGACACAATCTGTCTGCTTGATTCTCTTTAGAATGATTCTCTCATCCACATCGTTACTCATGTTACTCATTAATTTCCCAGTTTAAATTCCCACCCTCAGAGTTCCTGATTTCACACGAACGCAGCATCATGAGCAGCAGAGAGAAGCCGAGGGAGGTGGAGATGGGGAGGGGAGGGGGGGTGGGGGGGGGGGGAGAAGGGGATGGGGGGAGGAGGAAAGACCGGAGCGGATGTGGATCCGGAGCGGAACACGCACTGGACTAGACGTGGATCTGTCACATCTGCCGCACACTTTGAATGATTCACAACCAGTGTTGGGGAGTAACGGAATACATGTAATCCCGTTACGTATACACGTTCTGAATATCTGTATTCCCTTACAGTTACTACTTACAATACAATACAATACGATTTATTCTTGTATAGCCCTAGGTCACAACAGAAGTCATCTCAGAGGACTTAACAAAACCATTGAAATCACCAACACAGGTCAGAGAATCAACAGTTAAAACACATGAAGAATATAAAGCACACACAGAAGAAAATGTCCATACATGTTGTAGAATGCTAAAGTGTCCTGATCATCACCAATCCTTTCTGTTGGACACTAACTGTCCAACAAGACCCTCCTGCATCGACAAGGAAAAACTCTTAAAAAACTCAGTGGGAAAAAGTGAGAAACCTTGGGGAGAACTAGGGAAACCCACAGGGAGGGAGACCCATTTGAGAAAGGGATCCGCTCCTCCGGACGGACAGGCTAGACAATGGGACAACGGGTGAATAGCAATGAACAAACTACAGTCAAAATCCTAATAATGCTAAACAGATAAAGTAGGAAGGAGGAGAGGATAGTGCTCAAGTTACCATACTTCTCCCAGCAAACTGACTCCCTATGCAGCTTGACTGACAGTCTGAGGAGTTTAGCCTTCCCTGAGTCTTACCTTCCTAGCCATATGCTAAACTAAAGAGGACTGTTTTAAACCTAGCCTTGAATAAAGAGAGCGTTTCTGAAAGGAGGTGAGACAACAGCAGCAGCCACGGCTAGGCTAGTCTAGGTTACAGCACCAAGATTCATGGATTGCACACCAGGTGTGCAAACCGATCCAAGCAAACCTAATTATATAGTATATATCATATATATCACATGTACCATACATACCATATATATCATATATAATACACAACATAACATACAGCATAATATATAACATCATATACAACATAATACAATACACAACATAATACATATATTGTATAATATATAACATAATATATAACATAATACAGCATATATATATAACATATACACCACATATTATATATTACCTAATTATATGCTAAATTAAAGTAGAGTGCTTTAAGCCTGGCCTTGAATGTGGAGACCGTATCTGCTTCCTTAACATAAATGGGAAGCTGATTCCACAGTAAAGGAGCTTGGTAGCTAAATGCTCTGCCGCCAACAGTGATTTTTGAGACCTTAGGGACCACCAGACGTCTGGCGTTTTTTTTGTGAGCGCAACGCTCGACTTGGTTGATACGACACTAACGTGTCTTGGAGATAGGAAGGAGCCAAGCCATTTATGGCTTTATATGTTAAGAGAAGGATTTTAAACTTTATTCTGTACTCCACAGGGAGCCAGTGGAGTGATTTTAACACCGGAGTTATGTGCTCCCTCCTTTTGGGACCTGTTAAGATCCTAGCTGCTGTATTCTGAACGAGCTGGAAGCTCTTCAAAGAGGCTTTAGGGCATTACTACTATACTTCTTACTTTAATGTCTAGTATTTAGAACACAGTTACTTTCTGAAAATCACGGGAATATCACACATTACATAGAAAAATAAAGTACACAATACAATACAATACAATTTATTCTTTTATAGCCCTAGGTCACAACAGAAGTCATCTCAGAGGACTTAACGAGTATACATCATACAAAACGTGTCCAACTGTAGTCCCAGACGTCATGTGGAAGATGACAACAAAGAGCACTGCACACTACAGTAAAAAATTAACTAAATTGGAAATAGTTCAAAGATTACGGTTTAAGACAAGTCATTAAAACATATAAACAAACACAAATTATGGATGTTACAGGTTTGATAGTTTAAAGTCCTGAGTGTGAACTGCTTCTGTGTTCCAGAGCTGTAGAGCTCAGAGCTGATTGGCTGAAGGCTCTTCGTCTCAGTGGAACAACTGGAGCAGGTCTGGTGTTCCTGTGCCATCCTCGGGCCACACTGATTCAATATCACTCTAAATATATAGATTATTCTTTGCTGAATTTTGATGATTTTTCCTAACTTGACTCTGATTTATCTTCTACTCTAATAATCTGTGGTGGGTCATTTTGACCTGAGGTAAAAACAGGTTTAGCAGCTGTTTGTTCAGACTGATGGCTCTGGAGCTGCTCTCAGCAGTTACTGTGGCTTTATCCTGGAACTCAAAAACAAAATGGCAGCTTCCTGGTTTTAGTTATTTCTTATCAAATTACAATTTGCTGCATTTAACTTCAGCAAATTGTGACACCTGTGTATGACACCTGTGTGTGACACCTGTGTGTGACACCTGTGTATGACATCTATGTGTGACACCTGTGTATGACACCTGTGTATGACATCAATGTGTGACACCTGTGTATGACACCTGTGTGTGATACCTGTGAATGACACCTGTGTATGACACCTGTGTGTGACACCTGTGTATGACACCTGTGTGTGACGCCTGTGTATGACACCTGTGTGTGACACCTGTGTATGACACCTGTGTGTGACACCTGTGTATGACACCTGTGTGTGACACCTGTGTATGACACCTGTGTGTGACGCCTGTGTGAATTCCATGACCTCTGAAACCACTCTTTGACTTCACAAAGTGGTTTTCTCTGCGCTTCATCACCATTAGTGTTCTGTTAGTTTGAATCCGTACGAATGTTTGGAAACCACCAGTAATTACAGAAAGTGAATATGAAAAGAGAGGAGTTTGGAATTCTCTTTTTCCTTCCTCCAAGACACTTTGTTTTTCTGTGTCTGTCATTTCTCTACTGTTATTGTCTATTATCATTTTGTTCTCATGCTTTTAGGAAGACCTCTGTTGTCAGAATGAATCCCACAGATACAGCACTGGGGAGCTCTGTCAGTGCCACGCACAGGACCGACGAGACAGCGCTAAAGGACAGACAGATGACAGATGCTACTAACATAAAGCTGCAGTTCTTAGAAGCAGATTGGGAAACACAGATCAGTGCTAAAAGTTTATTTTCAGATGTTGCAGGTCAAACAATACACATCTCCATGAACATGAGATACAGTGCCTTGCGAAAGTATTCGGCCCCCTTGAACCTTTCAACATTTCGCCACATTTCAGGCTTCAAACATAAAGATATAAAATTTTGATTTCTTGTCATGAATCAACAACAAGTGGGACACAATCGTGAAGTGGAACGAAATTTCTTGGATAATTTAAACTTTTTTAACAAATAAAAAACTGAAAAGTGGGGCGTGCAATATTATTCGGCCCCTTTACTTTCAGTGCAGCAAACTCAGTCCAGAAGTTCAGTGAGGATCTTTGAATGATCCAATGTTGTCCTAAATGACTGATGATGATAAATAGAATGCACCTGTGTGTAATCAAGTCTCCGTATAAATGCACCTGCTCTTTGATAGTCTCAGGGTTCTGTTTAAAGCGCAGAGAGAACCATGAAGACAAAGGAACACACCAGGCAGGTCCGAGATACTGTCGTGGAGAAGTTTAAAGCCGGATTCGGATACAAAAAGATTTCCCAAGCTTTAAACATCTCAAGGAGCACTGTGCAAGCAATTATATTGAAATGGAAAGAATATCAGACCACTGCAAATCTACCAAGACCCGGTGTTCTGTCGAGTTGGTCTGCCCGTTGAGATGATCTGGCTCAGCTGTTAATGATGTAATGCAAACCTGCACTGCCAGTCTCACGGCAGCCAAAGCACTTCCTTGAACTATTGTACAAATGCAAAAGCCCTAAAGACCAAAGTCATATGTAATGAATATTCACTGTAAATATTTATTATTTCCATTATCAACCTGACAGACCAGTCACAGGACGCGTCATGGGCCTGACGTATGCAGCAGTCAACTCAGGGACTGCGATCACACAGCAGCAGTGTAGTTTCATAGGAGCAGTGGACTGCTTAAAACCAACTTTACACAAAACTCTTACTCTTAAAACCCACATATCACAACGTGGAACAATCAACATCTTGCCTCAAATAGCATTAAAAGTGACATTCGTGTCTTAATTTGTTTGTATTTATCTTTTAAAGCAATTCGCGGACTACATGTCCGCCATCTTGGATTGCTTCGGCTGCCGTGAGATGCGCATGCGCAGGTTTGCATTACATCATTTACAGCTGAGCCAGATCATCTCGACGGGCAGACCAACTCAACAGAACACCGGCCGTCCCTCCAAACTTTCATCTCAAACAAGGAAAAGACTGAACAGAGATGCAGCCAAGAGGCCCATGATCACTCTGGATGAACTGCAGATAACTACAGCTGAGGTGGGAGAGTCTGTCCATAGGACAACAATCAGTCGTGCACTGCACAAATCTGGCCTGTATGGAAGAGTGGCAAGAAGAAAGCCATTTCTCAAAGATATTCATAAAAAGTCTTGTTTAAAGTTTGCCACAAGCCACCTGGGAGACACACCAAACATGTGGAAGAAGGTGCTCTGGTCAGATGAAACCAAAATCAAACTTTTTGGCCACAAGATATGTTTGGCGTAAAAGCAACACAGCTCATCACCCTGAACACACCATCCCCACTGTCAAACATGGTGGTGGCAGCATCATGGTTTGGGCCTGCTTTTCTTCAGCAGGGACAGGGAAGATGGCTAAAATTTATGGGAAGATGGATGGAGCCAAATACAGGACCATTCTGGAAGAAAACCTGTTGGAGTCTGCAAAAGACCTGAGATTTATCTTCCAACAGGACAATGATCCAAAACATAAAGCCAAATCTACAATGGAATGGTTCACAAATAGACGTATCCAGGTGTTAGAATGGCCAAGTCAAAGTCCAGACCTGAATCCAATCGAGAATCTGTGGAAAGAGCTGAAGACTGCTGTTCACAAACGCTCTCCATCCAACCTCACTGAGCTCGAGCTGTTTTGCAAGGAAGAATGGGCAAGAATTCCAGTCTCTCGATGTGCAAAACTGATAGAGACATACCCAAAGCGACTTGCAGCTGTAATTCCAGCAAAAGGTGGCGCTACAAAGTATTAGCGCAAG